ATCCATATCATCCTCTCTAAGAAACTCTATGAGCTTCTCTACAGTTGCCTCACGTTTACGAGACCACAGGTCAAGAAGATCACAGGTAGGATTTGGTGACCGTTTTAAATTTTTTATTTCATCTTGATCAAATCCCATTTTCTCTCCAAGAAAGCGATAATCTTGAAAATGATCATTATCTTCTATATTAAGTTTAAGACAGATTCTACGCTTCACTTTAATTGGAATGTCTGCGGCTTTAAAAGATCGCCCAGTGGCAGTCACTTTAGCCTGATCTGCATTTGAATCATTATCGTTTGCACTTTTTAGGTCTGCTGCGGCATTATCCATCTGATTCATTCCACTGCCCTTTTTGATCTTCTTGTTATCCTCAACGCCTGGCCTCTCATCCTCCACTATGTTACATTCATCTATAAACAGGAAAGGAACAAAGAATAGGTTGCCCTCTTTTGGTAATGGAGAAAAAAACATTCGTAACCACCGCTAATGAACATAACCTTTTTTTTAGGCTTGCTTAGGGGGGATATATAAACTTTAATTTAATTTATACAGGCTCACACGAATACACACACAGACAACACCCACAAATTGTGATAACGAGTTAAACCTACATAGCTAGGGATATATTATTTAAAAATCAAACAATGGCCATTGAAAAGTGATTAGTATTGATTATAAAAATTGGCACTTCGCGGAAAAAAAGCACAATTGACATCGTAATTTACAGACTCAACACCTTACATTAAAAAGTTTAGTTTCCTTGCATCGCCGCTCGAAGACCATGTCTCATGTTACTAGCAGCAGAGGTAAGGAGGACATTACATTGAGCGGCATACCTCGGGCAATACAAGGAACAATGTTTCACTGATTCAGAGTCAACACCGTAGTCGCAAATAGGCGACGCAAAACTAAAAATTTTGAAGCCTTTTTCCCCAAGACTAGAAAACCCAAGTCAAAGGTTGTTGTGATCAAAAGATACACGCCTTGAAAAATAACAATCGTGTAACCTACTGTAAGTATTTCTCCTGACCAAGTACAATTCTCCTATTTTATGTTGAAAACTAGATATGATTTACAAATGTATTCAACTTAACCATTTAGGATAGTGCTGCATAAGCCATATTGCTCTTGCAGCATTAGGAGAGGTAAACTTCAATTAATCATTCCCTCTTTTCTCCAAAGCTGACATGATGTGTTTTGACACTTTCAGTAGGGAGGTATCCAAAGTTTTATGACATAAAGTCACGTAAAGAGCAGATGTTGTTAGACAGCAATTCATTGGTTGACATCCTTGAGCTAATACATCATTAGATGGTGGTGGGTGTATTTTTCAAACATTTTACCTGGTTCACTTTTACTGAATGAAGAATTGTTGCCATTTAGAGGCATATCATCTTCTGATCCTCTTGCGCTTGTGCTTGTGCTGGGGAGACCATCCTGGACAGATCTCCCAGTCATGTGGGTTGGACCACAAGCTGTCAAAACAATCATGTAAGAAAATTTTTTTTTCTACATCTAAAAAAAATCCTCCTCATATCCTTTTCTATTTGTGGGGGTCAAAAAAGTAAGCAAGGAATTGTTTAATGTGGAAACAAAAACAAGCATCAAGACATCATCAGTGAGGAAGTTAAATTTTTTTTCTGGCTACTGGGTTGATCAGTTCAAAGTTTAAGCTTATGGTGACAACACTGGGCCCAGCCGGAAAACACGGGCTGAATTTACTAGAAAACAGGGAAATCATGATATCCCATATGCAGAAAGAAAGGGGAAGGAGTAGAAAAAAGACTTGTCTCTTGAATGAAACTGGGTATTAAATTTCAGAGTTACTTTTCATCAATTTGAGATCATTTATGTCTAAGTTTCTAACAAATGTGTTTTGATATTGAAATCTCTTAATTTGAATGTTACAGTAAGACTTAGGGTTTTCTGCATACTACTTCTTTTATATTTCATAAATGAGTCCAGTCTTCTATTGGGTTTAAAATCACCAACAAACGGTGAGTGACTTTGGACCTGACTGCAATTTTATTGGAGGTCTTTCCATTCCTAGAAAATTGTGTCAAAACAGAACTCAAAACATTGATGATTTTGGAAATTAGCCTAGAAAAAAAAATAATTCCAAATTGTAATGGACTGATTTATTATAGTAGGCCTGAAATTGAGACAAGTGAGATGGACTGTAAAGCTCCAGCCAGATTTTCTTTTTCTTCTTTTTTTCACTTCTTTTTTTTTACTGTACCTGGGTAAAAAACAATTTCCCTACAGTCACAGGGGTTGTTGATCTTTTCAGTTTCTTAGCCCACTGAAGATAGCCATGGTCTAGCTAAATGCCTGGGATCAAAAGTCATGATTACAGTCATTATACTGACAGACTAAAAACTTTTTCTTTCCCTAGGATAAAAGAACACTTTAACTAGGCCACAGTTTTCCTTCAAATAATATGCAACTTCCCTGACCTGAGACTGCATTAATTATTTCACTAACACTCTTTACCTGGGTAGTGGGGCAAATCAGTCTCGTCAGGTCC